TTTTGATTATTCTGAGTTTGCAATCTTAGTTGGGATGCCTATGCTAGAGTTTATTTGATCCTGCGTGATCGTTAGTGGAGGCACACCAGATTGTCTTAATTTTGTTGTTCGACCACTCCGTTATTGTAATCGCCATTTGTGGCTAGTTTGTTTTGGTCCCTTGTGGCTAATGACTTTTTTGGCTGAATTATGAATGCAATCATAAAATTTCTCAAAAAAAAAAAAAAAACTTCATTAGTTGGTTGATGTGGCATATATGTTGAGCCCATATCTCCAATAATATAGTGTCATGTGTATTTAAAATACAAAATATATTTTAAAATAATTTTAAAAAGAAAACCAAAATTTTATGAATTTTAAATTAAAAAATTTCGCAGGGACCATTTGTGATAGGTGCATGAATCTCAAGAATGTTTTGTGATATATATATATATATATATATATGCCACGTCAATAAACTAACGGAGTTTTTGACAGAACCTAGCATCATGGACTATTTGTGATCACACATACTAACCTTGAGGATCACGAATGACAACACAAAAATGGTCTGTGATGTTAGAAACTCTGTTAAATTGCTAACATGGAAGGTAAGTGGGCTCCATATCTCCAATAATGTCGTGACATGTGGATAAGATACAAAATATATATTTTTAAAAACATTTTAAAATAAAAAAAATCATTAAAAAATAAAAATAAAAATTAAGAAAAAAGTTGAAAATTCTTTTTGTTCTTTCCCATCCCCCATCTTCCTTCTCTCTCTACTCTCCCCCTACTATTTTTCTCACCCACCACCCCCATCCCCACCTGTAACCCATGCCACAGCTACATCCTAAACCCCCACCCGCAACCCCCAAACCTCTCCCACTATTTTTTCTCTCCCCCTATACTCTCCCTCTCTCCATATGACTTCTAAAATTTTATTGAAACCCATGATTTTCCTTAAGGAAGTGAAATAAATCCAAGTCAAATTATAAGATCGGTCAATGAAATTTGGATGGGCCAAATCGTACGTGTGAATTCATGAAGTAAAGAATGATTGAGCTGTGAGAAAGCTCCAATGAAGATCCAATTGGGGAGGCAGCACATACAAACCATCTTCTGGTTTTCAAGTTTGCTTTTTAAGAAATCCAATCATGGAGAGAGAGGAGAGTTTGTAGGAGAAAAAAATGGTGAGAGGGAAGAGTTTTCTTTTTGTGTAAGAACAGATAAGATTTTTTTTTCTTTTAATGTGAATCAGAAAAGGAGAAGATTTCCTTCATTACATTGTTCTTAATTTTATACATAAACATCACTTATAAAATAAGTATATTAAATGGGGCTTAACAATTGTAGTATTCTAAATGGGGCTTGTTTATACCAAAATGAACAGCCAATGAATGACGAGCACGTGGCTAAACCATGGGCATGTGGTGCCTTCGGCACCTACCTTCGGTAGAAGACCTACCGATTGCGACATTAGGGCAACCTCGCCCCTTTGGACGCGTGGCAGTCCTACAATTGATGTCCAGAGTCCCACATCGAAATTCTAAACAAGTCGCACGCCTCCCAAGACCTATAAAGGAGGACAACCATCCCAGCTTGGAGGTAATCAATCAGAACTTACGGCATACTGCCTATTGATCTGTAGTTCAAACTTACTAAATCCGTACTTACTAAAACATCGGAGAGCCTTCGGCCGGTACCACACCGGTGCCCTAGGATTTACCGTGTGTTTGCTATCTTACAGATCGCACACCCTACCGAGGACATCAGATACCGAAGAGACTAAATCACGAAGTTGCGCGGGAAAGTGCCGAACCATTTTTCTGCGTCAACAGTTTGGCGCCGTCTGTGGGAAAACGATAAAATCAACCTACAATTCCTAAACAAAACAAATGGGAACCACTTCAGGACCACAGTTCCTGTCAGAGGACGGATTACCGTACGGTATGCCAAGTGGAGCAAGCCCCGCGCTGCACCCTAGCACCCCCTTCGGTAATCCTCCGGCGCTTCAGACCACGGTCGAAGCAGAACTTCTGGCTCAGATGACCTCCCTTCGGAAGGAGATGACTAAACTCCAAGAACGTAATAATCTCCTTTCGTCCAAGGTAGACGAAACCCAACGGTTGCTTAATCCACAGGAAACACAAAACATTCAGTCCACCGAATCTTCACAGAGTCGGCAGACCCCCGATCGGCAGAAGAAGGGAAAGCAGGGGGCAAAGGCAA